GATTGGATATACAGCACCCCTCCCCTCAAGGGGATGACTAACAGAAATGTAGGTGAAGGGAGACAGTGGACAGTGTAAGACATGAAATAGCAATAACAATATATAATTAATCAAGGATATACAATGGGGGGGGGAGAAGAGGAGTTTATATCAAGGGATCATGTAGAAAATGTTTTGGAAATGATGATAGCAACAAATGTACAAATATGCTTTATACGCTTGATGTATGGGATGTTATAAGAGCTGTAAGAGTCCCCAATAAAACGATGTATTAAAAAAACAGGTCAAAGAAAACCCCATGGAACAGATTTCTATTCAGACACACATGGAGCTGGAAGTGGCCTGACAGCAACTGTCTGACTCTTCTGTGGCCTGGGGTTATGTCAACATACAAGACCAGGGAACATTCCCAGCCTTGCAGAATGCCTCCTCTGGCCTAGAAAGGCAAATCAACCACAGACACATGCTCGATTCCAACTGAGCTCACTGCCCTGGGGTGGATTCTGACTCACAGGGGCCCTGGAGGGCAGGGCAGAATGGCCCCAGACTGTGACTCTACAGCAGTAGAAAGCCTCCTCTTTCTCCCTCAAAGCAGCTGGTGGTTTCGAACTGCGGACCTCACAGCCAGCAGCCCAACACCAGACCCACGCAGCCACCAGAGCTCCACAGACTCAGGCCTCAAATAGCTCAGTGCCACGAAGGGAAACAGTTCCGGGAAGGGGGTAGGGGAGCCAGTGGCAGGACTGCATCTTTCTGTGGTGGGGGTTGCTGTGGGGGGATGGGGGGGTCTGTCCGGGAAGGCCACATTTGAGAAGGTGACCCTTGTGCAGAGTTGCTAAGGGGAGAGTGGGTGCTGCAGATCAATATCCGGGAGAGCATTCTGGACAAACTCTCTGCTGCAGCCAGTCAAGGTAACTGACCACGGCGAACTCAGAGGACCAAGTGGGTTTCTGAGACTGTCAGTCTTCACGAAAGTGGAAAGCCTCATCTTTCTCCCTCAGGGGGGCTGATGGTTTCAATCCGCTGACCTAGAAGCAGCCCACGGCGCAAGGCTCCTTTCCATGTGGCAGCAAGCACAAAGGCCCGGAGGCGGCAGGGTGCCTGGCACATTCCGGGAGCAGGAGGAGGCCGGCGTGACTGGAATAGGGTGGCTCGGAGTCAAGTGGAAAAAGATGAACAAGCCAGCAGGGGAACCTTTCAGACAAGATGGGTGCCTGCAGGGACGCGCCACTCAAGGGGACGTGCCACACGACGGGGGCTCTGGGTGCAGAGAAGGCTCCTTTGAAAATCCACATGCACCGCCATCGCGTCAGAGCGACCCGAGAGGGCACAGTGGAACGGCCCCTTTGGGTCTCCGAGACTGGAAATCTCCACAGAAGGATTTTGAAAGGAGACGCTGAGGGAACTGCTGGCAGAGAGAATGAGCTTTGCGGAGCCGAGGAAGTCTGTCCAACCACGGAGGGAAAGTTGCCAGAGCAGGAATAGGGTGGGAATGAGGAAGCAGAGGAGCAGCAAGGGGTAGGAGGCATCCCAGTCCCCTCAAAGATGGCAAGGGAGCAGGTAGATGATGCTGCAGGGCCAGCGGATGGGTGGGGTGGCCAGAGAGCAGGCTGAGCGGTTGGCACAGCAGTGCCAGGTGAGCGTGTGCTTGTGCGGCTGGGCAGAGGGTCACTGAAGGGAGGACTTGTGCGGCCAGGAGGTGAGTGCCCTGCCTTCAAGACATGGCAAGACTTGGGATTCGAGAGCGAGCAGCCAGGACCGCTGTGGCTCCTTACCATCTGTCTCAGAACGTTTTGCGCCCCACCCCCACCCCCCATGGGGAATCTCAGCTGTGGTGTGATGCACTAACACCTGGACAGGTGGCCAGCTTCGATCAGGGAAGCTCCAGCCCCCTCTCCTCCTCCTCTTCCTCATCCTCCTCCCTTGGCTCTCTGACATAGTTCCCTGGCCAGATAAGGGTACTTCCCTAGGAGTGGGTCCCAAGCAGACTTGGTGGGCAATGCCCTGGCAGGGCTTGGCGGGGAGGGTCAGGGGGGAGGGCGGAGGACAGGAAGGGGAAGCCCCTTTGGTTTCTATATCACAGAAGGGACCCAATAGGGAAACCCCACAAGTCCCAAGCAAAAGGAAAGTGGCCCCCTGTACGTCGGGGAAGACCGAGAAACCCCCATCCTTTCCCTGCAGATGGGAAATCCAGGGAGGGGCTTTGCCGGGAGGGAGGCAGCTCTGCAGCCCAGCCCTGACAAGGGTCCCTACAGAGCAGAAGCTTAGATCAGCGGCTCTGCAGGGCTAATCAGTGCCTGGACCGATCGCTGAGCCCCGACTCATGCAACCCGAATCTGGCCAAAGGCTGAGCCCCACCGACTGAACTGTGCGTCTCAGCCTCACACCTGAGTCGTGACAGCCAGTCAGACTCGTGGCCACAGGCAAAGCCCCACCGGACCCACCACTGCGGAGCATGCCGGCCACTGACTAGCTCTTGGCCCAGACAGACAGACATTGCAAGTCCAGCCCTAGACCAAACCCTGAGTTGAGTTCTAACCTGGAGTCTGAAAGACCTCAGCCCTAGAGGAGGCTCAGACCCAGATTGAACTCTTCAAACTCAGGCATGGCCTTGGACTTGATCCCATCCGGCCTTGACCCTAATCACAGACTGAGCTCCCGGTGCCTGATGCTATAAGGTTGAACCTTGACTCCGTGCAGGGGTTAGCGCGGGGGTGGGGGTGGGGGGTGTCCAGCCACTCACTGGAGGAAGGGTGCCTCCTTTCTCTGGCCGTGGGGTGTACCAGAAGAGGACAAAGGTGGCTCAAAACTCTTAGTCCCTTTTGAGGGTCAGCTCCCTGACCTGGCCACCTTCCCACCCAGGGCTCCGGGAAGGCCCTAGGCTGGTGGTGAGAGGGCAGAGAGGTGAGAGTTCCCATCTTGGGGGACGACCCAGGGAAGAGAGTCCAGGCGGCTCATTCATTCGGAAGAGCAGGAAAGGGAGGGAGGGAAGGGTGGGATCCGGGAGCTTCTCAGGGGCTCAGGAATTTGGATTGCCCCAAACTCCAGCTTCCCGCTACCCACCCACCCCCACCCCCTCTGGGAAGGGAAATTACATTTCCCCATTTCAGCGAGGGGTCACAGTGCGGACGGAAGACTGAATGCAAAGCTGAAAGCGCAAGCAGGAGGGAAACTGAAACCGGGCAGGCGGAGCCCCCAGTATAAGACGCCCCCACCCAGGAGATGGCTGGTCAAAGAGGCTGGGCCCCAGCATGGGCCAGATGACAGGAGACCTTGGCTGGCGTGAGTGTGAGGCCAGGGCTGGGGGAAGAGGGGGGGGGGTGAACCTGGGCAGAGGATGGGAGTGGTGGGCTGGGGTAGATGGGGGTCCAGGGCTAGGGCCAAGGATGAGGCTACAGCTGACTGGTGGATGGGAAGTTTGGGCTGGCATGAATGGGATGGGGTGCCTGGGGAGAAGAGTGGGTGGTTTGGCCAGAGCTGGGTCAAGGATGGGACTGTTTGGCTGGCAGGGATGGGGAGGGAGGCACAGGCAAGTTAAAGCCAGAGCTGAGCAGATGAATCAAGAGTTTGGTTAGAACGAGTGACCGGGGGTCAGGCAGCCTGTCTGAGACTTAGCACGGGGGGTGGGAGTGGGTGGGAGGGGGGCTGACTAGAGAGAACAACAGGAGGAGTTGGCAACCACAAGGGGCTGCTGCCGAGGAGTCCACAGCCAGACGAGGTTAATGGGCTGGGTGGACGGTCCAGATTGCATTTGGTGACTAGAGAACTCGGGCTGGAACCAGAGCGTGGGCAGAGGAACAGGTAGCAGGGCCAGGTGGAAGCCACAGGCATGAGAACAGAGAAAGCCCTGATGCATGGTGCTTAGCTTATGCGTTGGGCTGCTTAACCACAAGGTTAGCAGTTCAAACCCACCCACCACTCCGGGGGAAGAAAGATGAGGCTTTCTACTCCAGTAAAGAGCTGTAGTCTTGGAAACCCAGAGGGGCAGTTCTACTGTCCTCTCGACTCACTGGGGGTCAGAAACGGCCTGATGGCAGTGAGAAAATAGAGACACTTCAAGGATCAGGACCGAGGCCCCAACATTGACCATTGTGCAGAGAAATGAGGAGCAGGACCCAGGGGCTACAGAGCTCAGGCAGGAAGGAAGGGGGGCTGTAAATGGCTGGTGACACAACTCAATTCTTGGTGGGCAACATCCTCCAGGAGTTGAGACACCTATCTAGCTCCTCAAAAGAATTAAGAAGAACCCTGAAGTCTCTAGGAAGCCTCTGGGCGTTCAAGGGGAAGTAGAAGCCCGTAGAAGCTTCCCTTAACCTTCCTTGATAGGGTATTACAAGAAGCAGAGCCCAGGGCTTGGGGGCTGAGAATGGAAAGAGGGAGAGCAGTTTTGGTTTGCGTTTCGAAGGAGGGTTATGTAACTGTTCTGTGGGAGAAACTGCTGGCCACAGGTTTCATCCCAGAGCTGTCCCCCCTCCCACCACCACCACCCCTTCCACCCTTGGCCTTCTTCCCTCTGTCCAAGAAACACAGGGCAGGAAGCTCCCTCAGGCACCAGCCATGAAACTGCTCCGTTTTAGAGATGGGAGCCTGACTTGCTCAAAGGAGGAAACACCTTCCTAGAAGCACCCCCACCCCCACCCCCTACACACACGCACACACGCATGCATGCGCGCGCACATGCACACACACAAGCTCTCACAGTGCTGGTGAGGGTCTGGTTTGACTAGGTTCCCCTCCAGAGGGAATCCACCTGCCTCGGTAGAGACTGGACCAACCTTTTGACTCTGTGGAGCCAGAGCCTCTGGCATGGCCAGCCCACCCCTGGGGGCCTCATGGCCAGTCCAGCCCATTAGAGCCACCTGGCTGAGCCCAAGGAATCCTTGACAGAACAGAATGTTCCACTCAGGCCAGGTGGCTGCCTCCTCTGAGATCCCCAGGGAAGACACACAGGCTCTGCATCTGACTCCTTCTGGAATCCAGGCTCAGCCTTCCACCCTCTGGCTATACCACCTTGGGCGAGTCACCCTACTGAGCCTCACTCACCTCAGCTGCAGAATGGGGACAATAGTCATTCCCGTTCACTGCACACAGCTACACAGGTCGGTCGCTGAAAAAGGTAATCGGCTAGAGGAGTTTGTGTATCATGGATCTGCTTGCGAAGGTAGGCGTCCTGGCCAGGCTGCGTCTGCCTGGGGTAGGAACGCCTTTTCATTCATCCTGAGACGCCCTATGATGCGTGGTCCCATTGCAGCTTTGCCATGTCAGTGAGACCAGGCCTGCGAAGCTGCTGGCATAATGCAGCCTCAGAAGAGGTGTCTTTTATACCTCCTCCTGAATCTCCCAGTCCCCCTCACCTGGCTCACCCCTCTCCCCACCTCTCCAGGGCTCGGCCTCTTGCTGCTCTCCTTGCTCCTGGCCCGAGCTGGCATCTGGGGATTCCCAAGGCCCCCGGGGAGGCCGTCCCTGAGCCTGCAGGAGCTGCGGAGGGAGTTCACGGTCAGCCTGCATCTGGCCAGAAAGCTGCTCTCTGAGGTCCAGGAGCTGGCTCACGGCTTTGTGAGTTCCCGGATGCAGCCGGCTCTGGGAATGGGCAGACCCCAAAGCTCCTCTGACCCCTTGCTAACAGATCTTGCCCCATAGGCTGAGTATCACCTGCCTGGAGTGAACCTGGATTTCCTGCCCCTGGGAGGGCAGCTCCCAGATGTTGCTCTGACCTTCGGGGCCTGGCGCCACCTCTCCGTGAGTAAGGGCTCCTGGGGTGTGGGGGAGTCACCAGGAAGGCTGAGGTGTGTGTTGGGGAGTAAAGTTGGGGATGGAATTGAAGATGAACTTGGGGATGGGGTTGAGCTTGTCCGTGGATCTAAAGAAACTGGAACAAGATGCGATGAGGAAGGAGGTTGTGGGGAGGAGGGAGTGCCGCAGGTGTGGACCCAGATGGAGATGGGAGACTCGTGGAGAGGGGGGATGAAGTTGATGTTGGGAATGAGAAGGGGATGGGTGGGGCTTGGGAAGATGAGGGCTGGCATTGAAAAGGCCATGCAGGATGGGGAAGGGGGGATGGAACTGGAATGGTGGGGGGCCTCCGGTTGGAGATGGGATGGAGAGCTGGTGAGAAAGCGGATGGAGTAGGGGGATGAGGGATGGGAGATGAGATGAAGTGGGGGACGGAATGGAATGAGTCTGGAGGTGGGGGTGAAACTGAAGCTGGCGTGAGTTGGCTCTGCAGATGGAAAGGAGCTATGGTGTGGGGTTAAGGGGAAGAGGGAACCCCACAAAACATCACAGGTTCGGTAGGCGCAATTGTACAGCGATAATAAGTAGAGATTATAGTAAAGTCATAGAGAGCATGAGAGTTAAAGGATGGAGCCAAGTAATGGAGTCAGACGCAATTCATGGTAGCATAGCTCACCTCAGCTAGGCTTGATGGTCCTCGTGGAGGGGGCTCAGTCGTCAGAGAAGAAGCCGCTGCTTCGTCCTCCTTAGTCACCTTCTCCAGCCACCCTCCCGAGAACCAGGGAGCCTCCTTATTTATTGCTAACCACGCATCATATCACTTTAGGGGGATCTGATTACAGCGTCATACATCACAGAAAGGGGCAATACAATTCATTCTAGAACAAGTTTGATCATTCTGGTGTCTCATACAATAAAGCAGGCAATTACTATCCTGGGAGACATGCAAGCCCCCTGATAGCAGATAACAACCTACGTCACAGAGAGGGGTTGTAACATAGGCAACACAAGCAATAGGAGGGGGATGACCTAGGGGTGAACGTGCAATAGTAAGAGGAGGGAATAGGGGGAATGTGTGGCAAGATAGTAGCCTAAGCTTAGTCATCTTAGAGTGGTCCCGGGCTTGCCTATGGGCACTGCTTCAAGGGAACAATAACAGAAAGGAATGGGCCCTATTTGGGGTGAGTCAGACTATGCAGTCTGGCTGCTCTAAATGGCTGATGTTAAGGACCTATTTTCGCTGCCTAGTGAACAATTATTCTCAAGCTAAGTTGGGGAGACAACTTAAGAGAAATCCTGTCCCTCATACTATGGGGGTGGTGACACGGGTGAGATTGGAGATGGGTTTAGAGCAGGGGTTCTCCACCTTCCTCGTGCTTCGACCCTGTCATGCAGCTCCTCATGTGGTGGAGACCCCCAACCATCACATTATTCTCGTGGCTACTTCATCATTGTCATTTTGCTACTGTGATGAATCGTCATGTAAATATCTGATAGGCAGGATGTATTTTCATGGTTAAAAATTGAACACAATTCAAGCATAGTGATGAATCACAAAAGCAAGATGTCATTCTATATTGTGAAATATTTATTTCTAATGACAAATAAATGACATGTTGTCTGGAAGCATGGTGTAGCCTGGGTAAGAGTCTTCACACCGGTACTCATAGTGGGGCGTATCTGCATGTGGGCGGACCTGCCTGGAGACGATAGAGGAGCGGGGTCTCGGTCCTAAGAGTGGACCATCGGAAAAATGTGTTTTCTGATGGTCTCAGGTGACCCCTGTGAAAGGGTCGTTCGACCCCCAAAGGGATGGCGACCCACAGGTTGAGAACCGCTGCTCTGGAAAGTGACATTGGGAACATTGCTCCAGGGCAGTAGTGGGGGACTGGGGATAAATACAGCATGGGAGCAGGGGTGGGGGCTGGGGCTGGGGTTTCAGATGGGGATGGGACACAGAGCATGATGGGTTTGGACTTGAACTGTGTGGTCGCCCTTGGCCTGGGGACCTTCTGTGACCCTTCCCCTCTCTTTTCCTAGGACTCAGAGCGGCTGTGCCTCCTCTCCACGACACTTCGTCCCTTCCATGTCCTGCTGCAAGGCCTGGGGCCCCAAAGTGGCTGGACGCGCTCAGAGAGGGCGCAGTTGTGGGCCCTCAGGCTAAACCTCCGGGACCTGCAGCAGCACCTCCGCTTCCAGGTAAGGTGCCCACACTCCCTGCCCACGTCCAGAGATCAGTGCACACATCGGGGACTTCTGACAGCCCCGTACACAGGCTATGCAAGTGTGGAGGGAGATGCGCCAGGAACCACCCCAATGGTCTAGTGGTCCCCTTTCCCTCTCTGACCTCACCCCATTCCTCCTGAGCTTGTCTGAGGGAGACTGGAACGTTACCCTTCATCTCGGGAGAAGAGCAAACGCAGGCAGCATCGAAACCAGGCCCATCACCTCTCTGCCTGTTTCTGCTCTGGAGACACTCTTGAAGCAGAGAAGAACTTTCTGAGCCCCAGAGTCCCCGAGGCCATCCTAGAAGAGTGACCCTGACGCGTGGCCTGCGTGTCAGTTCCTCAGCCCGGCCGTGGCTTCCATGTCCTTGACCGAAAGGTCAGGCAGGATGCATGAGGGGGTGACTCAATGGACGACCTACAGGAGGGGTTGTCCGTGATCCTGCAGCCCTGCAGCCCCAGATGCCGTTAGGAACTAACAGGGTACAAAAGAAATCCAGGGTGACTTCTCAAGTTCCCAGCCTGGGCCCTGCTCTGACCCCTGCTCTCCCCTCACAGGTGCTGGCTGCAGGATCCAGCCTCCCAGAAGACGAGGAAGAGGAGGAGGAGGAGGAGGGGGAGAAAGGACTTCCCACAGGGACCCCGGAGAGCCCCTCACAGATGTCTGCCCAGGCGTCTTGGCCCCAGCTCCTCTCCACCTACCAGTTACTGCATTCTTTGGAGCTTGTCCTGTCTCGGGCCATGCGGGACCTGCTGCTGCTCTCTCAGGCGGAGGACCTGGCCCCAGCGGCCTTGGGTTCCCACTGCCCAGCGCTGCTCAGCTCTGACGGAGAGACCCCTGAGCCCTCCCTCACCTCCAACCTCACCCCCACCCATTGGGACTAGGGTCTCTACCACTAGGGCAGGCTCTGGCTCACTTGCCCCAGCCCCCCTACCCGGTAACTTAAAGCCCCTCCTATCCTTGACAGATATTTATTTCAGGAATGTTTATTTATTGTCCAGGGAGAGGATGGTTTATTTATTGTCTGCCCCCCCCCCGCCCCACCCTGGGGCTGAGCCACGATGCTGGATGCCTAATAAAGCGCTCCCACGCTTCTTTCGGCCTTGACTTCTTTCCAGAGAAGGAGCCCAAAGGGTAGCAAGGCCTGGAATGGGGTCCGTCACCCGGCTACTTAGGATGCTTCTTTGCCCCAGCAGTGTGGGGGTCCCCCATTCCGGCCTGGCTGCCGGTGGTTGCCATCACCACCAGCAGGGTTTGAAAAGCGGGGTGGGGGGGCGGTGTTGGGGGGGGGTGTGAGCTACCATTCTGGAAACCCAAGGCAGCTGCCCTGCTACCCACCCACCTTGGATTCCAAGGAGCGTTCCCTAAACCCTCCAAAGCCCCTTCCTCTAGGGCTGGCTCCATCTTGGGAGCGGGCAGTGTGTGCCTGCACAGCTCCTGGAGACGAGGTGGGCGCTGGGGAGAAAAGGAAGAGTCTGAGAGGGAAGGAGTTCATTGTCCTGTCTCTTCCAAGTCTTTTCAAGGTTCCAGACAGCTGAGGTGAGCCGGGGAGAGAATCAGGACAGGGCCTGGGAGAAATGGTTCCCCCGCCACCCTCAGTGGGGTATGTGATCCAGCTGCCTCCGCCAGTCCAGGATCGGTGGGAGACGGCAGGCTTTCTCCGCTCCGTGACCAACACGCCAAGAATGTGAGGTCTCCGTGGCAGCGGTGTCTGCGGTGGCACTGGGGACTTGGGGGGCGCAGGGCCCTCCCTCGGGGCCTGGCTCCCAGTCACTGGGGCTTCGGCTGGCCCAGACGGGCTTGTAGCTCCTGCATCATGCCAGCGTGTGCAAGACCAAACCTGGAGGTGGAAGGCAGACTGAGGGAGCTGGTCCCCCAGCCCCCACCACCCCCACCACCACCCCGCCGCCTCCCCAGCCCAGCCTGCCCCTTCACCCCAGGCCTACCCGTGTCCCAGGGGCCTTCTCCTGGCTGGCACCGGGGTCCCTTCAGGCCTTGGGGGGCTTGGTGCAGGAGGTGTCTCTGCCTGGGGGAGTCTCTGCAGTAGAGCTGACGATTCAGCCTCTGGCGGCAGGATGGGGGGCTCCTCGGGGGACCCCGGTGCTGGGGTCCGGCGGAAGGAGGGCCGGGAGCGGCGCTGTGAGGAGCTCCGGGACAGAAGGGCGCGGCTCCGGGGGACAGAGACGTCCAGGCGGGACCCCGGGAGCAGGGCCTACAGAGAAGGGAGTGGTGAGGCTGGCCCCCCGGGGGGTCCCCCCTGTGTCTGCCACCGCCCAGCCCTGGCCCTGGTCCTCACCTCCTGCCAGCTGCTGCAGGCCTCCCCGCAGGCATGTCCTGGGGCCTCAGCGGCCTCGGCTTCTCCTCGCACCACAGGCTCAGCCTCTGCAGGCCCCTGGCATGTTGGCTGCTCCTTCTGACCCTGGACAGCCTCTGGGCCTTCTAGATGGGCCTCCTCCGTCTCCCCAGCTGGCTCAGCCTCCCTGGCCGCCTCGGCCTGTTCAGCCTCCTGGTTCTGCATGGCCTCCAGGGCTTCCCCAGCCTCCAGGGCTTCTCCAACTTCCTGGGCCTCCCTAGTGTCCCCCGGCTCCCCATCTTCCTCAGCCTCCTCAGCGGTTGCCCCAGCCTCTTCACCCATCCCGGCCTTCCTGGCTTCCCCTGCCTCGCCCTCTCCCGTCCTAGCCTTTCCAACATCCCTGGCCTCCTCTGTGCCTCGGGCTTCCTCGGTTACCCCAGCCTCCTCCTCCTCCTCTCTGCTGTCCTCCACCCCCTTGGCCTCCTCCTCCCTCTCCCTGGCTTCCTCTGCCTCCCCAGCTCCCCCAACCTCCTCGGCCTCCTCAGCCTGCCCCCCTTCCTCAGCCTCCCTCAACTCTTCGTCCCCCTCAGCCTCCTCAGCCTCTCCGGCCCCCAGACCCCCCTGGGCCTCCTCAGCCTTCCCCACATTATCTGCTTCCCTCGCCTCCCGGGCCTCTGCAGCCTCCACAGCCTCTCCTGCCTCCTGGGCCTCCTCTGTGTCTCGGGCTTCCTCGGTTTCCCCAGCCGACTCCTCCTCCTCTCTGCTGTCCTCAACCTCCCTGTCTTCCTCTACTTCCCCTGCTTCTTCGGCCTCCTCCTCCTCTCCGGCTGCCCCCATCTCCTCGGCCTCCTCAGCCTGCCCCCCTTCCTCAGCCTCCCTCCACTCCAGGGCCTCCGGCTTCTGGTCTCCAGCCTCCTCAACATCCTCCAGTTCAAGGCTCCTCGGGGCTCCTCCCTCGAGGTGGGGGTCCCCAGGCTGCCCCTCACACTCGGGCCCCTGCCCCACTGCTTGCCACCCACCAGCCTCTGTTCCCTCCCCCACCCGCTCTCTTGGGAGCCCCTCGGCCTCCCTGGTGGGGTCAGTACTCTCTACTGTCACCTTTGGGGAGCCTGGGGTGAAGCTTTCCATCCCCCAGAGACCTTCGGCCTCTGCAGATCCCCCAGCCGTGCCCGGCTCTCCCCCAGACTCTGACGCCTGGGCCTCTTCTTGGTGGCCTTTGCCGGTCACCTCTGAGGAGTCCTTCGGGCTGTCCTCCCCCTGGGTGGCCGCCTCACTGGCCCCAGCCTGTGCCGGCTCATCTGAGCCCCGGCCTCTCTCCAAATCCATCTCCACGGCCTCCCCAGCTCCCCTTCTGGGCTCAGACTCTTTTACATTCTGGGCTGCCTGAGCCTCCACGGTCTCTGTAGCCAGAGGGCTCCTGGGACGTGTGCCCTCCTCGCTGTCCTCGAAGCTTGATGGCACTTCCTCAGCCCCCCATGGCCCTGCAGCTTCTCCTTCCCCATCCGTGACTGCCGACTCTTCCAGTGGCCCACCTGTCCCTGCTTCAGCCTCAAGGTCTCTGCCTGGCTCCCGGGGCTCTGTCTCTGGGGCCTCTTCCTCCTCTGTCCCCAGCCCAGGGCCCTCCGCCTCCCTGCACTGCACCCCTACCTCCTGGTTCTCCAGGACCTCGGCCTCTCGGCCTCTAGGGACCTCCAGTGCCTGGCCTCCTGCAGTCCCCTCCCCCAACCCCTCTGTGGCCACCTGCAACTGGAGAGCAGCCCCCTCCATGGCCCTTTCCCTCCTACTTTGCCAGGCTTCTGCCCCGGAGACCTGGACATCATAACCTTCTAAGGACTCAGGGTCATCCCCCAGGACCCCCTCCACTGCCTCTCCACCTGGTGCTGGCTCCCACAGGGGCTCTTCCTCCACCCCCTGGCTGCCCTCAGGTTTCTTGGTTGGGGACTGGGGCCCTCCCATCCATTCAGGCTCCTGGCCTTCTGTGATCCCCCGTCCCAAGGCTCCCCACTCAGCGCTTAGTGCTCCCTGGCCTGGCTGAGCACCCTCACTACTCCACTGGCCTGTGAACACCTTCTGGGGCCCGGCCCCTGGGGTGCTCTCTGCGTCGCTGTCGCCGTCACCTCTAGCCCCCCTGGCCTCTGCGTCCTGGGGCAGCCCGGCCTCTGCGCCCCAGCCACCCGCCTTCTCCTCCTTGGCCTCTTCTGCCTGAGCTTCATCCCCCAGCCCAGTCTGGTCAGTTCCATCCTCCGAACGTGGCCTCTCCTCACTCTCTTTCCTGTCCTGCTCTGCCTCGCAGCTGTCCCCTGCCTCTTCCTCGGACCCCGCATCTCCTGCAGCCTCCCTCCCTGACCCCTGATCCCCGGCTCCTTCTTCCACTCCCTGGGTCTCCAGGGCCTGAGTCTGTCTGTGCAAAGGGAGCCCTTCAGGCTGACTCTGCTCCTGCTCCCCCCCATCCTCCTCGGGTCTCCTGGAAGCCTCCTCTCGCACCCAGATGCACTCGGAACCCACGGGGGTCCTTTCTCCTGAGAAGACGGCCCCCTGGCTGAGCGCCCTGACATCGGGAGGGTCAGCCTCCTCCCTACCTGAGGCTGTGCAGGCTGCGGGCTCAGCCACTGGTCCTGGTGGCTCCCGTGCGACCGTAATTTGGACACAGCTCGCCACAACTAACTCCTCCTCTTCTGTCCCAAGCTCCCTGACCTTAGGCCCCCAGGCGTCCTCAGTCAATGGCCCCTCACCTGCCTGCCCTGTCTCCTCACCATTGTCATCCCCAGCCGCTTCTGGCCAGCCCACACCAGCCTTGCCCGTAGGCTCACTGTGCCAGGCCCACTCTGACTCCACCCCTTTGGCCACCCCTGGCTCCTCTGCCCTGACCTCTTCCTCCACCTCCTCCTGCTCCTCCCGTTCCTCTCGTTTCCAGATTCTCAGCGTCTGTCCTCTGTTCACTTCCGGCTCCAGCCTTTCCTGGGTTTGGTTGCTCCGGTCTCTGTTCACCGCAGACCCCACCACAGGAGCCTCATTCTCCAAGGGCCCCTGGTCCTTGGCAGCCTTAGCTGCCTCCCAGGCTCCAGCGTCCTGTCTTTCTGCTTGGGACCCATGGGAGCTGCCTTCTCCCCAACTCCAGGTCTGTTCAGCAGCTGAGCTCCCTTCCTGGTGTCTCTTGGTGCCCCCAGACCCTCTCGGCCCTCTGCTCCCCTCACTTTGGCTGCTTCCCAGCCCCTCCTGTGCCTCCTGAGCAGCCTCCTCCACAGCCCTCCTTGGCCTTCCTGCCCCCACCTCAAGTCCTTCAGCTACCTGAGCCTCTCTCTCCCCCGTCGTGGGGACCTCATCTCCCACGAGATAGGAGAAGAAGGTGCCGAGGGAGTCCTAGGAAAGAAACATCAGAGGAGAGAAAGAACAATCAGGGGACAC